GTCATTTTTGCATTTTCTGGATTTTCGGAATACTACGGCAAGTTTGCAGAAAAATTTCCTGTAATTCCATGTAACATGAGAGTCGCTGCTGGCCGCTGACTACTGGGAGGAATCGAGCCTGTCATTTCTAGTCTACATACACACACACACAAAACCAAATCTCTCTCTTTTTATTCAATACTACGGATAGTTTGAGCTTGTCTTCTGTTAAGATATCTGCAGAAAAACTTTGCCAAAGCTCTTGTTAAATGAGCCCCTGCACAGGCAGTCATTCACCTCCAGGTCCAATTCTTCATGGGTCAGGCGATCCAGCAGCTCCACATGGGACCTTAATAAAACATTCCAGGAAAGCTCCAGGGACACACAGGCATTAAAGGCTGTTAACAGCACCATAATTAAAAACAAATTAACAGGAAATCTGAAATTGCCTTAAGAATTGTTCCTGTCTTGTGTCACATCTCATAAATCTCAAATTACCTTTGAAATTTGCCTTAGTATTTCAGAATAGCTGCAAAATCAACAAACCACTACAAAGTAGTTAAAAACCTACAAAATTTGCTTCCTTAGCACTAAGACCAGAGGATATCTTTGACAGTCTGCATGGCACTGACATTTTTAAAACCTTTTATTTACTTCAGAGGAAAGGACCAGCACAAGAAAAGATGGTTTAGTAGCTGCAGTTGTATTTGTAGTGAATATTTCTCTGGCATGACTGTTGCTTTCTGCTGAACTTGAAACAAGTTAACCCTTTTTAGCCAAAGGATCCTTCCTGTCACAGGAAGGGTTGGGTAGTTTCTACATCCTTATTTAGCCAGGTGTTTATTGTAACACCTAGATAATGAATGAAAATGAAAATTTCTTCCAAAAGTGTATGGGTTGAACTTCCCAGCATTTTAGAAAAGGCTATGCTTAAAGATTTAAACTATTCCGTGTTACGTTAATACATTTTTTAATAAAGCTGAGCCAGAGGAACTATATAAGATTTTACCTCCATAGAGAACATGAAATTTGTTTCAAAATCAGTTATGAACCTATAGGCATATGCTGATGAAACTGTAGGTATCTACTGTATGCTCACCATTTTAAAAGGCAATGACAGAATTTGGTTTTGCAGGAAAACAAAATTTAAATTCAGTGTGTCAAGATGGCTATGGTTTCATTAAAAGCCTGATGCTATCGGATTTTTCATTAAAAGCTCAAATCCTGTGGAAAAGTAATTATGTGGTGATCTCAACTTTTATTTAAAAACAATGCAATTGTCTAGCCCCCCCCTTGCCCGGCTGCAGAAGAAAGCTTGAAAATGTTTCCCAAGTGTATTCTAGAGACTCCAAACCTGCAGGCAAATAAAAAAGCCCATAGATGATAGACTTTAAAATTCCAGGTCTTTGTAACTCGTCTTACAGTTTTTTCAGGGCTGACAATCCTGCTTCCTTCAAAAAAAAAAAAAATCTAATCATTTGCATTGTCAAAGAACATCAGAAAATATAGCTTGTCATTTTTGTCAGCTTACCAGTTTTTTATCTTTGCTAATAGTGCAGTTTCTCTTATTATATTAGTTAGACTAGAAAGTTCTTCACCAAGTTTTGTGTCATTTTTTTCCCCCCGCACACTAACATTTTTGTTTAATCCACACAGCAATTATCAACTACACTGTATCATGTAAATCCCACCAATTTGGGTTTGGTTTTTTTTTCCCCCTGCCAAACTTGCATGCATGAAATTCTTTTCTGCTTTCTGCCAGGCTGTGTCGACACAGGTCAGTGTGTTGCTGGCCCAGCTACCTAAGGGAGGCCCAAAGGAATCAGTCTGTCCCCAGAGCACAGCACAGCGCGGGGCAGGGGACTGAAAAGTGTTTGAACAAAACCAGCCCAGGACATCAACAGATAAGGGACCATTTTTGTTCAGAAATTTAGTTCCTGAAATGTCCAGATGAGGCCACTGTGGTTTTATTATCCCCGATTTCAAGAAAGGAATTTAATTTGGTTACCTCAGAGTTTTCCGTCTCCACAACTGCAAGTGTGCTCAATAGCCTGTTTTTCTGTTGGAGAACAAAGAAAAGGAAATGGTTATTTTTTTTCCTTCGCGCAGCGGTTACGGTACTCGAGGAGGCAGGAAGGCAGCCGGACAATGGAAGCTGTAGATGTGGAATTTCTTCTGTAAATCCCCTTTGCTGCCGCTGCTGCTGCTGCTGCCTGGCCGGCAGTGGAGATACAGCAATGCAATAGCAGGAGATGCTGCGAGGCTGAAGCAGAGCAAGCATTTTCGTTTGATGGAGAGCCCCAGGTGAAGCTTTCCAACAGCCCGACCCAGACTGTACAGGCTTGGTTTCAAATCGGCGGCGTGATGCAAAACCAGGGAAGGGTACAGAGCGCTTTGGCTGTGTCACGCTGCTAGGAAATGGGGATTTCTGTGGTGAGAGGCCGGGCTGGGCCCTGCCAAGCCCCCAGGCAGTGAACTCTAATGCGTTATGGAGATGGGGACGACGTTCTCATCCAAAAATATCTGGCCAGCCAGGGGAGAGACTGTGACTACAGGGAGACTGTGCTTCCTTTGTGTTTTGTTTTTGTTTGTTACTAAAAGGGACCTCCAGAAGCAAGAGCTCTGAAGCGACCGTGGGGACGTGGGCACGCGTGAGAGCCCAGCCACAGGGAGGGACGCTGGCTGCTGGGCAGAGCTGCAGCAGGTCCCTCTTTCCAGCAGTGTGGTTAAAAGAAGGGAAATGCCTAACTTTGTAAATGCTCTCTGAAATACTGTTTTCTTCCCTTCGTGTTTGCCGCTGCAGAAGGGAATGCCTCCTTCAAATCCACTTAGGCTGTCTGATAATAGGTGCGTTTTTAACAGCAGTTGGGCAGACAACCCAGAGTCAGGACTCATGAGAGGCTCTCGTTTTTGCTTCTCCACCTGCTTGGGCTGAAGGGCCACATTTCAGCCTTAGGTCCCCCTGCCATACAACGCCAAATCTGGCCTGAGTTTGGCCTGCTGTTGGGTTTCCTCTCCTGCACTGAGCAGCTCCTCTGCCTACAGCGGCAGGGTTATCTCTGCCACTATGGGCAGCGCATTTGGATGATGGTTAACAAGAACACTGAGTCAGATCTTATGGCTGTGATGGGATTTAATATAATGTTTGTTTGTAAACTGACAAATATTGTCGGAAAGCGCTTGCGAGGAAGGGATCTGTGACTCTCACTCAGGCTGCCGACCCGCTCTAACCAAACAGCTACAACTGACCTCAGCCCTTTTCAGGCTCATCCAGGCACTCCAGGGAATGCAATATTTTAGCCTCAGGACCAGTTGGTTTTATGCCATGCAGCCCTGTTAAGGCGCATATTTTAATTGCATGGCTTGCTCAGCTCGCCACCATCTCGTGCTTCTCGCTGTGGTCCTGGCTCCTCTCCTGTTGTAGGACCCCGCTCGCCAGACACAATGCAGGGATGCCCCCTCTCTCCCCTCTCCTCCCAAGCAGGTGCAGCTCTATGAGGGGCCCAAAACTGAAAAGAGACTGAGCAGTGCTTGGCAGTAAGAAGGGACTGTGGGGATTGACTCCAAAGAGGTTGCTGGAGTGCCCCGACTCCCAGCTACAGCTTCATGCATAGTCCTTTAGCATCTGAGCTAATGCAGGGTTTTAAGGTGAGGCTCTCTGAAATGGGATGGTGGGGAGGGTACACCTATCACCAGATCTTTCAGGCAGCAGCAAAGCATCTCTATCACCACAGATCCACTGGAGAGGAAAAGCCCTGAAAGTCTTGTACCATTTGCTGCAATTTTCACCTAGTTTAAATGGTGCCTGAAGTTTTTGCGTATCCTTTTTAGGGTCCCTTCGAATTTAAACTCACTGCATATTCCTGTAGCAATACAATTTCCTTTCATTAGCAGAGCTAGCTTCAGCTGTTGTCGGGTATTATTATACCTCACTGCTTCCTTCCTCTCCCATCAGTCCCTCTATCCTGGAGTTAAATGTCATTTATAGTTTGAGCTATTTGACTGCTAGTCCCCCTGTACCCCAGAATAGCCCAGAAAGACAGGAAAGTTCACGGGAAAGAGGCATCAAGTGGCTACATTTTCTACAGCACAAAAGAACCAGACCCCAAAAATCTCGCTGATAGATGTGAAGGTAGCACAGGACATTTAGGACAGAGTAATTTGGACAGAACTGCGTGGTATGACTGCTCACACTTGGCGACGTGGGTAGCAAGCAATCATCCAAGTGGGCGCAGATACCACTGGAAAATGTCACTGCTGCAGTGAAGGTGGTACCCTTTCTGAAAAGAAAGTGGCCTATCCTCACCACAAAGGGGATATAAAACTAACACTTTTTACGAGCATTAACTTTTTCTTTTTTTTTTTTTTTTCATGTGAGAAAACAAGGACTCACATGAAAAGTCTTTACCAGCATTTTTGCAGCATGCAAAGTTTTCTGGTGGACTGGTAACTATTGCAACGAAATGAGGAACATCAAAATAAAAATGATTGTGAAAATGTCCTTTAAATCTTAACTGAAATGATGGCTTGTTTGATTGTTTTCTTCTATAGCTTGCTTGTTTGTTTGTTTTTTTAAGTCACTCTTGTTAATTGTCCTCCAGCCATGGTATGTACCAGATAGCCAAGAAAGCTGACATGGTGAAGTTATATACAGCATCCTTGTGACCTTTTTGCAGGGAAGATACATATCTGTCCAATAAAGCCCAGGCCAAATGACAGTGACAGCTGCCTTGTGGCATTCAGTTTGAATTGAACAGGTTTGCTCACAAGTCAGGAGCAAGTATTTCATTACAGACTCTGCACCAAGACCAACATAAGCCCCCAAAAGTGAAACTTTCCCTCAGCATCTATGGAAACTGCCCCGGTGGACTGAAATGCACTTCACAGGCTCCTCCTTATCTCCTTGCTTTGACTTTCCTGCCTCCTGCAAGCTGTCATCTTCTGTTGCCATTTGCATGTTGGTGTAGCATTTGCAAGGGAAGAAAGCCTCACTTCACCTCTCAGGAGGGATACGGGGTGTTATGGGAACTGAGCACTCAAAGAACGAGGGGCGAAGAAGCATGTTTTTTCTGAGGAAAGGTCCAAAGTTGCCTGCGTGGGAAGATGCTCTTCTCTCAGGGAAAGACACTGCTGAAACGGGGATTGCGTTATGTCAGCTTGAGCCTCATAATGAAAGGGATGACCAGCGCGCCTGACTTCTTGTGGGGACTGCCCGAGGTGCAGAAACTGAACCTTTCACGCAACCAGCTGGTGGTGATTCCTCCTTCGCTGGGGAAACTGGACAGGCTGGTAGTGCTGAACTTGGGTGGCAACTGCCTCAAGTGTCTGCCTAAAGAGATTGGGCTGCTGAGGAACCTGAAGGTCTTGTTCGTCAATATGAATTGCCTGACAGAAGTGCCAGCAGAGCTCAGCTTGTGCAGGAAGCTGGAAGTTTTGAGCCTCTCTCACAACTGCATCTCGCAATTGCCTTTGAGCTTCACCGACCTGACAAGCTTGAGGAAACTGAACCTCAGTAACAACCGCTTTGTGCAAATTCCCCTCTGCATTTTCGCACTGAGGAGCTTAGACTTCTTGCACCTAGGGTCCAACAGGCTTGAAAACATCGCAGAGAGTGTCCAGTATCTGGTCAATTTGCAAATCTTTATTGTAGAGAATAACAACATACATACCCTGCCACGGTCTCTCTGCTTCATCACCACTCTGGAGTTACTAAATGTCGATTACAATGCCATACAGACTCTCCCGGATGACCTCTACCTGCTGCGCCGGCTGCCACGCATCGCGTGGAACCCGATGGACAAAGGCCTCCACATCGCCCACAACCCCTTGTCCCGGCCCCTGCCCGAGGTCATTGAGGGGGGGCTGGATGTCCTCTTCAACTACCTCAGGGAGAAAAAGGAGCACAACTGAGTTTCCGCTGAGCTTGGGATAAAGCCTGTCATCAAGACTCACTCATATCGGAGCGCTTTCCTGCACAGGCATTTCCACTTCATAACACTCGGATTTCAAAGACTGTGGATGGCTTTAGTAACGGTTGGAGGAAAGCAAGTAAAGTATGATGGTCTTGATTAAGTGTGTGAAGAGTAAACTTTCTAAAAATTGCCACCTCTGTAACCTTCAGTGTTGGTGTGCTTGGGTTTTTTTAGGAAAAAAAAGACCAACAAACTTGTGATAAAATGTTTGCTCTTCGTTTGACAGAAAACAAATTAAGGCAGACTGCTAGAAGTGCAGAAATGTGTATTTGCCAGCTATTAGGTTGGAGGAATATTAATATAAATTGGATTTACTATATGTGATTGCTATCGCACTTTAACTCCTGCTCACTTCTTCATACGCAGATAAACCACTACGTAAACAAACACTGCTATCTAAGTGAATCTCAAGGAAAATGTTTAATTTACTTTTGGCAGTGAATATATCCTGAGCTATATTAGCTCACATACAGTATATTACTGGCCAGTTCAATACCATTTGTTGTTTACGCCACAGCTGTGCACTGGGTCTATAAATTACAGGTGAAGATTGCTGTCGATGAGGCGATTTCCCAGTTCTTTGGACGAAGACCCCAAACTTCCCCAAAGCGCCTAGTTCCCCTCTTGAGACACGCAGCCTTTCCCACGGAGCGTCCTAGGATGCCGACAGTGGTGCATCACATCAGCTGGGAGCAGCATCCACATGAAGCAGAGAAACGAACGTGGGTCCTTATTCCCTCAAACGAAGGCTGTCAGATGAAGTTGCTTGTTACTAGATGAACAACTGCACTCTGTTCCCTTTCCTGCATCCCTGCAATCGGAGCCATGGAGTAACTTTACTCAGGAGGCAGTACGTCTCCTAAAGGTGAAATATTTCTTTCAGGAAAAGCAGCATTGAACCAATCATGGGCTGAAATAAGAGCTTCAAAAACATATACTTATTTCTGTGATTTTCAGTATCAGCCAGTAGCATGAAAGTCAGGTCTTATGTGGTTTCTCATATTGATCTTCTGTGAATGTCCTTCATCAAAGTTTTATCTGGTAATAAAGAAGCAGTATGAAAGAGCTGTTAACAATTTATGCAACCCGGGTTTTTTTGTTCCCTCACACCAGTGTAAAACAGAAGCAACTCTGTTGAAATCAGTTGAGATAAATGTTTGTGATGGCAGCGTAAAAGAGGAATGAGCCTGTATTTCTTGTGCTAATTAAAGATATTCAAAGCCACTTTTAAAGTGCTTCCTATCCTATGTCAAATCTCAGGAATCAATGATTACTTTCTAAAACATAATTTGCTCGAAATTATGGAAGGTTGTGGAAGGCTGATCCTGCTTCTGGTGAAGTTAATGGACAACCCCTGGCTGAGGGAAAAACTCTTCAGCAGAGGTAGAAGCAGCCTGATAACAGCAGACAATTATGTAGTTCATAGGTACATGCAAGCAAATGCAGCACCTTTGGCCACGCTAAGGTTATCAGTGCAGTACCGAGCGTAGCAATGAAGAATCGGTGCACACAGAATATTCCACTCCGGGGCTGCCTACCCTGATATTCTATTATGTTGGATTGTTTTGTATATTGTTTGTTATCTTGATCGAGTATTTCAGTGTTACGCCCAGGAATCACAGTTTCCAAGCATGTAGTCAAGGACAAATCTTATGTTTCTAGCAAATGAGAAACCTTTTTGAAGGGCTTATTTGCTCAAGCGTTAAGCAAACAAACAAACAAAACGAGTAAACAAACACCAAAGCACCGTTATTTTGTGACATTTTTTACTTAATATATGTTTCAAATGCAAAGATATTTTATGTGTAGCTTTACATGTATTTATTTCACCAGTGCAAAGTTCCAAGTTTTTTAATGAACAATACATCTAACAAATTAATATGTGATTCAATTAGCGACAAGAAATAAAGCTGCAATTATTTATAGAAATACCAACAGATAATTCCCGGAGGGGATTAGGCACAGATTCTTAACTTTTCTAAATGTCCATTTCATATCCCTAAGTCCGGCGTTCACGTAAACACTGCAGTCCCGCAACAGCGCTTTGCAGGAAAATTAGATGCCTATGGCATTAATCACCTGAAAAGATTTTCCACATATCAGTATCCAGGATTATACGACACCAGATAGCCTCTGATGTGATCTGACTAGAAGAGGTATGCACAGTAATTTACATGGAAGATGTGAGACTGGACTGTGTCTGTTCATTAGGATACCACTACAGAGGGTGAGAAACAGTGCATGATTCAGGAAAATGGTCTCCAGACAGGGGATTAAAAGGCAAATTTGACATACTCATATGCATCTGGAAAAGCAGTTATAATATGAAGTGTAATACCAATAATTTAAAATTCAATTATTCAATTAAATAATAATAACCTTTTACTCAAGCTAATAACCTTTGTAAGCATAGGAAACATAAAAGTCTCTGCCTTTTTAAACAGAATAATAAAATTCATTGAATAAACGGTACTTTATGATTTTAATGTATAATTCAGATTTTACCATTAAGATGATAATTTCTACTGAACTGCTTTAGTCTTTCTTTCATTCCTCAATCAAGACCCTTATAAATAGCTTTCTCAGAGATACAGAAAATGATCTCACATGGCTAAAGGTAGCATTCTGAACTCTTCCCGTAAAAAGAAAAACCGTATATCACTGCTAATGTATAGAAGTATGCATGAGAGGCAAATGGAGATATATGTATTTGCATCTGAGAGGTAGCAAGATAGAGAAAGCAAGCAAGAGGCGCAGGAGGGAGATAGAAAGCATGATGTCACACGCTGGCCCCAGTTTTGAGCAGGGCATTAGCAAAGAATTGGTGGATCTCAGCATTGTCATCTGATATTAGCTGTACAGACGACAGGGAAAAACGGAGCTGAAACACTGCAGGGACTGCAGTCATATCTCATAATATATGATGACAGTACCGCTTCTAAGTGTATATTAAATGATATGATTTTGGCTTACAATCTTTCAGAGAACTTTATGCGGGATGTTACACTTGTTTCTAGTACTCACTGAAGTTTTCTCATCCTAAGCCTCACAGCAGCATAACTTTTGATGCACCTATTATTTTTGCTGTTATTGGTGGTGGTGTTCTTCAAAGGAATGGAAAAAGTGGGATCCACTTGTGGAAAAGGATACTTTCTTGGCAGGCTGGCTTTTCTATGGCTATCACTCAGAGAAGCTCTCAAAGAGCTTAGAAAAATTCTTGAAGTGGACGAAACAAATGGCAAAGCACAAGAACGAAGTAGAAAGAACATAGAGGTCAAATGGTTGGGATGAATGTAATATACAACAATTTGTTCCCCAGCTATCGTCAAATACACTGGTGGTACATTTGGTGAGGTGAACAGGTTCCGTCTATTTTCATTTTAAATCGAAAAGAAAGCTGCATCCTGTGAAAAGTTTAAACAAGCGAACCTTTGAAAACTGGAAGGTTTCAGGGTCTTGGCCTAACCAAAGTTAGTGACTTCAACCTTCGACTGAAAGGAAAACCTTTTAGTCTGAAGTGTTGCTGTAACACCTCACTGGAAGGTAAAGCTGCAATGTGTTTTACCTACTGCTCTGGGGCTACTGGCCAAACCTGCCACGTGGGCAAATTTCCTCATGCCGCTTGTGACTAGTGACTTCCCAAAATCCATTGCAATCTCCCAGCAGCCCCATAGGGCACCCACAGGCATGTAATCTGGCCAGGAACGCCAGCCCGTTACATGAGCGATGCAGCAAGAACCTGCAAAGACCAATTTCCAAGATGCACTGGGGTGGCATTTCAAAACAGAATTTTTCAGATTCCAGCTGAAAGCTCTTGAAATTCAGATTAAAGATTTTATGATTATTATTTTGGTTGAAAAATATGTCAACTTTTTTTTTCCAACTTGCCAATATTTTTTCCATACTTTTCTTCATTTTCATTAAAATTCCTCTTTTTTTGTCAAATTCAATAACAGTTTCTAGGCATTTTTACTACAAGAATATGCATTCTGCAGTTTAAGCTTTTTAGGATGTAAATGAATTTATTTCCTATTACTACGCTGTAGCTTCAGGAAACCATATCTTTCGGTTAATATTTTTAAGAACTTTACAGTCATCATTTAAGTGAAGGAGGATGCATCTAAAAAGTACTGCATTGATCCTGGAGAGATTTGAACACATTCTTTACTTTGCCAGGCCAGCACATTACTTGAAAAAACGTATCACAGCATATAATTTCCGCAAGTAGAAAAATCATTGAAACTTCAGCTTATTTCCTTAACCAAAGAAAAAAAGAAACCTCAAAGGTCTTCACCACATGAGAGATAAATAAAGGTAAATAAAGAGAGATAAAGAAAGAAAGCAAAGAAAATGAACTCATCATCTGGTCAGTATGGTTTCACCAAATTCCAAGGGTAAATTTGCTGCACAACCTTCAGACGGCAGTTCTTGAGTGATTCAAGGAGTGTTTCAGACTGCCTTGCACAGTTCTATTAAGTATAATTCATATGTATGAAAATAATTATATAAAAATAACAATATATAATAATTTCTAAAATATTAAGAAAATATGCATGTTATTATGCCACATGTGCTTCTGCAGTCCACACATGTGGGAGCTGAAATCCTGGAACAGTTACAGCCAAAGGAAAACTTCCGCTGACTGTAGAAGGGCCTGCATTTATATGAGAATATATACATTTACCATTTTATATATGGCAAAAACAAGATTTAAAAACTCAGTAGATGTTTAAATGGATATGAGGCTTTAGATATATTGGGACAGAGGTACATTTTAATACTCACATGTGGAGTAAGTCTGAAAATCCTTTTATAAAATTGCATAATCCTTCCTCCGTTCAAGTAAGAGGCAGAATAATAATTATAAAAGATGGGAAAAGAGACACTGAAACAGCTCTCCTTAGAAATGTATTAGGTTATCCGAACACCCTGAATATCCCGAGGAAATCAAATTCATATAAAGATTTTTCAAAAGCGGTAATTACATAAGAAATGTTTTTTCTCCCTCCCAGCAATCCAGAGAAAAGCAGACTGCTGACATTACTAGTTTTAAATTCTTCTTTCATCCCCCGCCCCATTGATTCCATGCATTTATCTGTGGTGCAACAAGGGCCAACCAGCCTTCAAAAACCGTCCCTCAGCACTGTCTTCTGCAGCCCAGTGGTACCGACAGCATCCTGCACCGGTACGGCCGCCTGTCGCACCGGAATACTTTGCAGGGTTTAGCGACAGAGCCTGAAATTTATACTCCAATGTATGTGGAGTCACATCATGCATGGCTAAAAAGG